TAAGGGCAAGACAGATCTAATCAGGAGGGCGACCCTCATAGAGAGGAGACGGCTGGACACCGTACTTCTTGCACACCTTGACATAGAGTATGTCCTCCGAGCCCTTGTACTTGGTCAACCAGGAGTCGATCCTGAACAAAGAGTCGGGGTCGTACTGCGAGAGAATGTCCGAGATCCTTCGCTGGCAGATCCTGTGGCGCTCTCCAGATCGTGACGAAATTGTCGGCGGCGGCTGCGGCATGTCGGGCGAGGTGGGGGCTGCTGCGGCAGGGCGCATGCCCACCTCCGCTCCACCAGACAAGCTGCCAGCAGCTTCTGGAGAGCCTGCGTGCTTGTTCATCCCCTTGGGCACAACCGCTTCGACAGCGGGCGCGACGACGCCGAGTGCCGTGAGCAGCGTATCCAACTGCATCGCAGGGGCCTCGGGCGCGAAATCTGGTGGCTGCCAGATGCCGGGCGGAACCGCTGGGGCATTGACAGAAGCCAAAGTGATGACGGTGTCCGAGTGCAAGCAGTGTTTGGCCAAGTACGCGACGTCCTTGATCCTAGGCGCACGGCTCACGCGCGCACAATAGCCCAGTCGCCGAAAAACAGCGCGTGTGAGCCTCGGGGAGGGTCCCGGATCTGCCTCGTGAGCGCGGCCAGCCGGAGCATGCCAGCAGCGAAAGCGGCGGCTGGCGCGCATGGCAGCTGTCCCGATGGACGGGGTCCTGCAGCAACACCCAGTGTGCTGAAAAGGACCTCGCAGCCAGGACGGCGGCTTCAGCCAAAATGGCTACGGACCAAGGAGGCGGGAGGGATGAGGGAGGAAGAGGAGGAGGAGGAGGAGGAGGAGGAGGAGGAGGAGGAGGAGGAGGAGGAGGAGGAGGAGGAGGAAGGAGTGGAGGAGGATGGGAGGAGAAGAGTGCGGAAGGGGGGATGGAGGGGGGAGAAGGGCTTCAGAGAGGCGTGGCGTTCTTGGAGGTTCCAAGTGTTGCTGAGGGAGTCAAGGTGGTCCTCCTCCTGCTCCTTCCTCCTCCTCCTCCTCCTCCTCCTTCCTCCTCGTCCTCGTCTCTCCTCCTCCTCCTCCTCCGCGTACTTATCATTCCCTCTCGTCGTCGCCGTCTTTCTCCTCTTTCTCCTCCTCTTCCTCCTCCACCTCCTCCTCCTTCTCCTCCTCCTTCCCCTCTCTGTCCTCGTTTCCCCCCCTGCCCTCCCTCCTCGCCTCCTCGCCACCTTACGTGCTCTCCCCCGTGCGCTACTCCTCCCCCCCTATCCCCTTTCTCCTCCTCGCGCCTCCCATTCGATCCCTATTTTGCCCTTCGTTCTGGTTTTCTCTCCTCCCGCAGGATGGTTGCTCGTACAGCGGTTTCCGTCACCCCCCCCTCCCTTCTGCTTTCCCAACCTTCGTGGTCATGGTCGTCTACGTCTTCCTCACTTCTCCTCCCCACTCCTCCTCCTGCTCCTCGTCCTCCTCCTCCTCTTCCTCCTACTCCTCCCCACCACCACCACCACCACCACCACCACCACCACCACCACCACCACCACCACCACCACCACCACCACCACAACCATCATCACCACCACCACCACCACAACCACCAGCACCACCAGCACCACCACAACCGCCACTACCACTCTCCCGACTCTTCCTCCTCCTCTCCTCTTTCCCCTCCCGAGGAGGGGGAGGAGGAGGAGAAATGGGGGAGGACCAGAGGAAGGAGCAGGATATGCATGAGGGGTTGGAGGAGGAGGGGGAGAAGAGGGAGGAGGAGGAGGAGGAGGAGGAGGAGGAGGAAGAGGAGGAGGAGGAGGACGGGCCTTCCTCCCCATAATACCCTTCCGCGAGATCCCCCCCGCCCTCCAGGAGGTGGCCACCTGGGGCGACAACGACCGGGGCGTGTCCTTCACCTTCGGGGCGGAGGCCGAGGGGGGCTCGCGAGGAGAAGGAGGAGAACGACGACGACGAGGAGGATGAGGATGACGAGGAGGAGGAGGGAGGGAGGGAGGGGGGCGGGGGAACGGTCTACCAGGAAGGGATACCATTTTGGGGAATTTCAGTGGAATCGCGGCTGCTGCGGCTGCTGCTGCTGCGGGCGCTGTTGTTTCACATTTGCCTCCTGACGCTTCTTTTTGAGGGAATTCCGTGGAATCGCGGCTGCTGCCGCTGCTGCTTCATCTTTGTCTCCTACCGCGTTCTTCTTCCACCCTCCTGTTGGTCCTCCTGCTGATGTTCCTTCTCCTCTCCATACAGCTCTGCGCATCACTGCTCCCCGGCCATGGGTATCTTTGAACATGCTGACTGGTTGGTGCAATCCTCTAATTTCAAGCGGTTTCCATTGTTTGTTAGTTTCTGGCTTGCAGCAATGGTGGGTTTGGGATTTTCAGTAATCGTGATCGACTGGATTTCGGACTCCTGGCCCCTGGGAACTTTTTGGAAGTATGGAGTTTGTGACACGCGTGAGATTTTGACACTAGAAAGAATTCTGGAACTCTGTATTCTGGACCATATCACAACTTT